CGTCCGTCGGTCCAATCTGTCTTACAGGCCGCAATATTTGAATATATTTTTCCGAAGGCCGAATGCTATGTAAATTGTTATAGGGTACATAATGATAAGCCGTGACCTACCATTACCCTATCTTTAATAATTAAGCAAATTTTTTTCAATTATACACATATTTGTGTCAAAAAGTGCAAAGAATAGCAGCAAGAGTCCGTAATGATGCGTAATGCTCTGTAAATAAATAACTCGTGCTACGTGCTACGCTACGTTAGTTAAACGAATTAATTATAAGGATAGACAGTTAAGTACATCGTTTGATTTCGTCTCATAATTTATAGAAAATTTACTAATAATTAAGCGATTTATCTGTGACGTCATACGTTCAAGTATTAAATATATATGCTAAATTTCTCTTATAAGTTGAACTTATGGAATGGGAAAAATGCGATGGATTATCAAATCGATCGCTGGCTCCACGATCGGCAAATGATACAAATTTGAAAATATCGTATTAAAGCTGTGTGTATGTGATCGCTGCATTTATTGCTGCATAAATTTGGCAATATTTGCCCAATTGAACAACAACAGTCGATAACATTGAAAATTACAATTATTGAAATAGAATCTAATCGGAGAGGTCTGTAGTAAATGTTTACTAATAAACTATAAATAAATATATATTAAATTTATGCATAAGTATGTGGCTATGTTTGAATGAGCAACAAACAGCAAATTGAATGGAGTCGTCATTGTCATTTGAAACATTCACATCCACATCCACATCCATATCCATATCCATATCCACATCCACATCCACATCGACATCGACATCGACATCCATATCTACATACATCTTGCTTCATCAACCAACTGTTATGTAACCGCAGATGCAAGGTTGAATCATAGTTACGCCCGATTACATTACAGATTCTATTGCAGCATCCAATGCCAACGAAGCCAACAAATATTTGCATGCGTTCGCTAAGGGATCCCATTCACTAACTCATTTTCAGAATTAATAAATCAAAATATGGTTGATTTCGATTTTAGTTTTCCATAAACCACATCTGAGTTAAGTACTACATATCGTACGTTTCGGTTAGCATTTATTATCTACATTCAAACACACACTTATATGGGGCAAAGCAAACATTTTGAAAGTGACTAAATGAAGCAAGTGTTTAATGATTATATTATACACTTGAACAATATGAAACTGCTCTCGTTATGGTTGGGATTTTTTAGATCAGCAGTAGTATACCAAAATGATAGAATTGGTTCTAATACGCATTTTCTACTGGCCTACTAAGTCCCAACATAATGAGTGTGACAACACAACAAAAACAACAATAACAACAATAATAACAACAACAACAACAAGAAGAAAAAGAACAACATCATCAACGATAATAAAATGGGGGCGAAAAAAAAAAAAAAAAATTGACTATAAATCGAACATAACTTCAATCTCGCGTAACTTGCAACAAAGTAAATTGTGCAACAAGTTCACCATGTTTCTTGCGCTAAATTGAAATTTTTAAGCGGCACTAACTCGCAACATGACTGATTTGATTTGATAATGCCCTTAGAAATTTCAAATAATGGCACTATACAGCGTGCGTATGTAAACACGAATAATTGAGAAGACATTGAGGCATTGAGGCATTGAGGCATTATTATCGCGTTGCGGCACCTACTGGCGAATGAATGCCCCATCACTTATTACTCACTCACTAACTACTCACTTCTCTGACTTCATTTTCCCAAGTATCTCTCCTCCTTTTAATCGTCACCATAATTGCGATAATAATGAACGCGTTACTTTCATTCAATTTATCATAAGTGAACATAAGGTGAAATTTCTTTTTAATAATTTCTCTTTCTTTTCCCTTGCTCTTCTTCGCTTCGCCTTGACTTACAATTACACTGATTTACTTACAACTTTTTCGATTTCTTCACTTACCGTTATATTAGAGATGTGAATAAAATAATAAGATCCCGACGAAAGATAACATAGGCGAAAGGAGAGAAACAGAGACGTTTTAAAACGCGCGTTAAAACCATCTATCAATTACGGGAATTTATTATGATAATTAGAAGGAAAAAATTACTTATTAAAATGCTTTTCCACCATTGTCTCTCCCCCACCCTAATTCAAAAAAAAAAAAAAATAAATAAACACAATGACAAGGAGCGCTACAGTCAATTATTATATTTGCATTTGATTTTGCATGATTTTGGTTATTAGATAGTCACAGACGTTACAATAAAAGTGCAAATCCATTGAATGGAACCGATTCGAACTGTAACGTACATTCCTCCTTTAAACGATTATTATACAAAACTAAAAATAATAATCATAATAATGATTCGCTTACCCGTTCTCGCCGAAATTCAAGTTTAAAGCATGTCTCGAATATCTGGACACATTGGCTTCGTTTTATTCACTTAAACAAAAATGAAAAATTGATTTCTTTAAAAAGTTCGACAAACAATTTTCACTTAATGTGAAAAGAAATTGGAATCATAGAATTATTACGTAATGCATGTTTTTAATGATTCTATAAAATTTTCTTCCCCCCCCCCCCCCCCCCGTCAATTTATGATCTTATAGTCATTTCTATTAAATACTATTTAAATTTTGATAGTTATGCCGGTTATGCGTATACATAGATTAAAAATGTTCCCTTACGGAAAATCTGTCTAGATTCGATAATCGAATGTGAAAGTTCTGCTAGTTTATATGCGTGCAGAAAAATCCTATCGGAACTCTAATCCTAATCAAATTCAGTTTTTCTAATATTACATCTAATCTAAGACCGGGGAATTGACCTTAAAGAAGCAACAATCTATCGCATCCCTATACAGCATATTTGTACTTCCTACAAGTCTTCAACGGACAGATAGATATATTGATAATCATTTCTATTGTATCGTACGCATATATACGCATCAAATGATTCCAAATTGTTATTATTATTATTATTATTATTATTATAAATTTAACAAGAGAATAAATTCTAAGACTAAAGTCTTGAAGCACTAGCATCATCTAAGGCTTTCGGCTTTATTAAAAACTCTGCCGAACTTGAGATTTGAATCCGCGACCATTGAGTTGCTAGTCGCGAGTCTTGCCTACTCGGCCACTCAGGCGGATCCCAAATTGTTAATGTTACAAGCAGGTGTGTATAGTGTGAATATAATATTAAAATACTTATATATACAGTCAAGCTCAAGTCTTATGCTTTTTTTTTTTTTCTTTTTATAAATTTAACGTAATCTTGGCTAGGACCTCATTAGCTGAAATTTAAAAACTTAGCCAAATCGCAAACTCTCGAAAATCCGTAAAATGTCCTTCAGACTTCACCTTCATATCTCACTCTTCACTCGTTGCATTGTACAATACTACTACGCGTTATATTATGAGCAGAATATTTAGATAATAAACTTGCTCATGCTCGGCGTAGTTGTACGTAAGCAAAGCTGATAATTATATGACAATTATGCTGCAGTTATTTATTGCGTATTGTGTACACATTCACTAAAAAAGGATAAGAAAAAAATCTGATTGAACTTCAAATCGCCAAGTTCAAAGAAAGAAAGTAATGTAACAACAACGCTGGTGAGTACAAATCTGATACGTAACTTATTATCACAAAACATGTAGATAGCATGGTCAGCATATGCCTAAGCGGCAGTATGCGACTAATTTCGGTGAAAATATGAACGGGATTTATAGCGAAGTAACATTGACAAATTGATCATCGAGCACTAATCGCTTTCAGTCGTCTAAGAATCGTTGCATCATATATAAGTCAGACATAGAGAAGAGTAGAAAAATGTTAGGTTAAGGTCAAAGCTGTGGTTTTTGATATTTGACTTCAACACTGAAATCGGCCCAATCAATATTCGTTTTTAAACTAATAAAGCGTATGCATCAGTTTAAGATGCCTTCGGTTCCGCGTAGAAATATAAAAAAAATTTTGAAATAAGGATACTTCAGCGTAGTAAACCAAAGCGGTTGTTAACCGCTCGTTTTCATTTAACAAATTAATTACTTTGTAAATTTCAAAAGATGAATTTTTAAGTTCAAATTTTCCAAAATTTACAACTATTTAGTTCACAAGCCAAGGAATGTGTTAGCTACATTTTAAATGCCTAATATAAACCGAAGATTGACATATATCTTTTATGTTGCTTGGCACCTTTCACAAGCACACGACATTTAAAAGAGCAATCTCAGGAATTGTCAATAATTTGGGGACTGTAGCAGACCCACTTATTAGAAAAGCTTAAAATCCTAAAGTGGATGGTGAAGTCTACCATTAAGAGGAATGCATGTGTCTAAAGCACCGACAATGATTTATGGATTGACAGCGAAACAGAGCCTCTCATTGCGAACAGTCTGCCACATCAGTCTACCTATGCTTAAATTTTTTCATCAATCGCTCTCAACTTCGTCTCTGGATTATGGATCTAACATTAACTTAGCTGGTCCAATCCATCTCTAAACAAACAAAAAAAAAAAAAAAAAAAAAAAAAGAATGTGTTAGCTTTTGCTAGGATTAATTTAACAATCACTCAACAATGTCGATCGTGTTGATCGTTAATCGAAAACGATTCGATAGGATGAAGCCTTTTTAAGTAGGAAAACATCCGCTTGAGTGGCCGAGTAGGCAAGAGTCTCGATTACCAACTCAATGGTCGTGGGTTCAAATCTCAAGTGCGGTAGAGTTTTTAATAAAGCCGAAAGCCTTAGATGATGCTAGTGCTTTAAAACTTTAGTCTTAGAATTTATTCTCTGGCTAAGTTTATAATAATAATAATAATAATAATAATAATAATAATAATAAGTAGGAAAACGTGCTGACTGATGATTGTCGGAACAAAAAAGCAAAAATGCTTTAAGTAGATTTTCGAACAAATCCTGCTCATGATCTATAAGAAAATGAGAATTTTATTTGATTCTAATCATCGCTGAGCGCTGAAATGCAATGCAATGTAATTCCATTCGTGTCCCATAGTTTATCAATCAATCAATTCTTCCTGAAAGTTAATCAGTTTATAATTCTGGAATAACTTTTGTTTGCCAATAAAATCGCGGCAATTATAAATTCATTTTTTCGCTCGACTTTATTCTTAAACTTAAATTATGGGTAAAGCGAGACACAATAGTTTTCAGAGTTTCTCAACGAATCGACAATTTGAACATTTTACTTCACAGCCTGTATAGATATACGAATAAAATTTTATAATATATAATCGTTAAGATGGCATTACAAATATAAATGCATCTTTCGATTCGATCTTGCGACCATTAAAAACAAGATGAACTGAGGCTCTCTTATGAGACTTTAAATTGCGGAGGAGCTGAAAGAAGGCAAACGCAAGTAATTAAATAGACGGCAATGCCACTTGATTGGAAAATTCACTTACCTTCGGCGTAACAAAAAAGTACTGCGAGGAACCGGTCTTTGTAGTTTCATCTACTAACATATCAAAAATTTTCCTCTCATTTCGTGCATCCATTCCCTGATTAATTTCATCGACGCACCGAAAAGGTACATGACTTATGTGTTGCATGGACAATGTAAAGGCAGCAATAGCCACGGCGCGTTCACCTCCGGACTGCACATGCCTATTGAGGGCCTGTAAAGGCACATTTTGTCGATACTGAACCAAAATTTCAATTCCAAACGAGCCAAAGTCATACTACAAAATCAAACTAAAGCTGGCTAAACTATTAAAATTAAATATAAAAACAGGATGCGCTTACCGTATCTTTTCGTGTTAGCCTCACTTCGCCAACGTAGCCCATTGATCGCATAAAATCGCTGAAATGCTTATTAATGGTTCCAATTACTTGATCTACAGTCGGAAACCAACTATCATAGATAGTTCGAATCTTGGCGACATAGTCTTGATTATCCTCCAACACATCTTGAATTTCACTTTCAATTGCTTTAATCTCCTGAAGTTTATTCTCGTGTTCCCGTAAAATCTACGTATGTTTTATTTCATGTTTTTTAGAAAATCATTACAAATCCATAATGCATGATGCATAATGCAAATGTCTATATATATATATATATACCTCAGAATTTACATTCTCCATGCAATCCAAACGGGCGGCGTAATCGTTAAGGAATCCTTTTAATTCCTCATAGTTGTCGGGCAAATCACAGTAAAACTGATAAGTCATTGAATTCTTTTTACGGGGATCCGATTTACTAATCAATGTTGCCATCTCATCTTCTTTTTTACGAAGTTTACTTTTAAACGTCTCGCATTTTGACTTTATCGCAGCCACTCTCTCCTGAAAATTGAAATTTGTCAGGCATGCTTGATTTGTTTGATCTTTATTTTATTCTTACCTTCGCAGAATTTCTATTCTCCAAAAGTGTGTTAATTTGATTAACTAATGCCTCATTTTCGGTATTAAATACATGCAACTTTGCCTGCAAGAATGCTTTGTTTGCAGCAGCTTTTTGGAGTGAACTTAAAGCTTGAACTCTTCCCGCTTGGCAGCGAAGAAGTTCGTTTAAACATTTTGCTATATTACGTCTTAAATCACTTTCAACGACACGATCTGAATACGAAAAGTTCCATATTATTCAAATAATTCCATATTATTTAATTGGTTCGTAAGTTCGTAACTTCAGAGAAAAAATGAAATGCAATATAAAAAGAAAAGCAAGTAAGAAAATTATATTCGGTCGTGACCGAATCTTTTATACCCATTACCGTTATCTCGACAAAGACAAAAAAAAAAAAGGAAAAGAACTAAATTATCATACTTCATAATGCTGGGTGTGTGCGAACGATTTTTTCTATTTTCAGAATAAAAGTGAAAATTTGTAGGGTGTAGTTTACGGGTAACAAGCAAAGAACATGGAAATCAAAGGTATTCACAAGGTGTTTATTGCATAGGCCTATGGCTATTGTAGGCGTATCCCTTGACCGGTTTCGCTCATCTTCAAATTCTTTTGCATATTTGTGGGCGTTATCTGAAATTTTGCAAACAGAAGAATGTTTATCAGACACGTCTACCACAAACGAACACACGGATAAACTTGGGTGCATTTCGAATTTGAAACTGGCCAAGAATTTATACACTGTAGTGGCTTTCTGAAGCTTGCTTGTATGCAAAGTCAATTTTTTCCATTTTTCTACAGATACTACAGAATCGACCATGGAATATATGTTCAGATTTCTGTAGATTTGTCTGCTTTAGTTTATGAACAATGAGCTAAAAACCAACTTTCTTCCCCTTTGAAAAACCGAAATGTTCTGAGTTCACGCGGTACTGTACGCACGTACTACGACTGACTTGGCCCATTTTCAATACCAACTTTCGTGTCAGAACTTCCAATGTTTTCGTCAAATTTGAAGTCGACAGGTTCATTTTTGCGGCTAGGAAAATGTTTACAACATATATATATATATATATACCCAGATGAATCGACGGACAGACGAACATGCTTAAATCGATTCAAAATTTGATGCTGATCAAATCCTCCGATGATGGATATAAAATTAAAAAAAAAAAGATAAAACGAAACCTAACCAAATCCTTGTCTCGAACAAATATGACGCCTATAATTTTGGTTCTCAATACTTTCAAGCAAAGAAATTGAAATATTTTTATGCTTAAAGAATTTTGCGGTGAAATTAAAACAAATTTGTAATACCTGAAAGTATATTTTAGTTACTGACAAATTTTCGTTCGTCAGACACATCTCCCTTAGACAAAAAGTTGCTTCATAAAATCCATAAATCTAGAAGAAGAAAGACAATGTTTAATAAACTTTCTACCGCCCCCCCCAATCCATACAACTTACACTACACAATTATTTCTAATTATAGAACAATAAAATTTTGATATATACTTAAATCGATTATAAGCCTAACAATGCCAAATGTAAGACACCAAGATCAAATCAAATTATCGTAACATGTCCAGCCAAAACGTAATAAGAAACTGCGAGACTCTTTTGATTCAGTCATAACGAGCAGTGAGTTTAACGTGATATGGATCAAATCGAAAAAAGTTTAGATGCATCGGTATTTTTGCATAAAAGAGGTGCTTTTGTCAACCTAAGTGTTTTCAAAATTCCTCGTTCTAAATAGGCCTTTGTTAAGCTCATCTTATTTGCTTAAAATTTGCAAATGCGAAAATAAACCACTTATCTGTACAAACGGCAAGGAAAGGGCAAGACTATCTACTACGAAACAGTTGAACTTCGCGGGCACACACATAGGATGGATATGCATAACTGTAACTTGCCTTTAAGTTGATTTTTTAAATCAATAACTCTTTCTTTACACTTGCGAATCTCGTCCATCTTCCGGTTAAGTTCGTATTGCCGACTCCTTATCTCACTTAATTTATCCTTCTTTTCTTTATATAATACTTCTTTTTCTCGCATTTGCGCTTCCAATGAACTTCGTTGATTTCGTAAATTATCAATCGCCCGTCCAAGTTCGCTTAGTCTGTAGATAAGAAACCAAGTTATAATTAAATGAAAACGATCATGTCTTACATAATAGTAAACCTATGTTTTTTCTGCTCGATTTGTTGCACATCTATACTGGGGAGAATATTTCTACATTCTATTTGCACTTGGGAAAAGATTTTTTC